AGAGGAAGTGACAGGAGGTTGGAGAAAACTACATAATGAGGAGCTTCATAACTTGTACTCTTCTCCAAGTATAATTAGAACGATGAAGTCAAGGAGGATGAGGTGGGCAGGGCATGTAGCATGAATGGGGAAGACGAGGAATACATATATGATATTGGTGGGAAAGCCAGAAGGAAAGAGACCACTGGGAAGACCAAGGCGTAGGTGGGTGGACAATATTAGAATGGATCTTAGAGAAATAGAATGGGATGGTATTGATTGGATTGATCTGGCTCAGGATAGAGACCAGTGGAGGGCTCTTGTGAACACGGTAATGAACCTTCGGGTTCCATATAATTCTGGGAAATTCTTGAGTAGCTGCAGAATTGGCAGCTCCTCCACAAGGGCTCAGCTCCATGAGTATGTAAGTTAGTAAGTAAGAATTTGGTTTAGTCAGGGACTGGGTGTATGAAACCAAACATTTGCAGTGAAATGTTATTCTACTTTCGAATTAATAAGCAGAAACAGCACAGGCTTCTGTTAATGCATCTGTTGTTAAGTTGCTGTATTTAGAAATGGTAACACAGATCAGGAACTCCTGACATTTACACTGCTCCAGAATCACCCGAACTGAATTATGTGTTTCATATACAAGGAGGATAAATCACAGTTCTGACTTACGTTGCCTTGGCTCCATTCAGCTGTAAAAGTGTCTAGGACATGGATGCAACCATCCTACAGTATGAGGGGGTACCCAAAAGAAACCGAACTTATTTTTTTTTAAACTTATTTATTCAAATTTTATGCACAAACCTTCAGTCCCCTTCAAAGTACTCTCCACTTACACTAATACACTTGTCTAGTCTTTTATTCCATTTTTCAAAACATTGTCTAAATTCATCTTTTGAGATGCTTGACAGCGCCTCCGTCATTTTTTCCTTCACCTCAGCAACATCAGCAAAACGCTTTCCTTTCATGTCTCTTTTCATTCGAGGAAACAAAAAAAAGTCGCACGGGGCAAGGTTGGGTGAGTGGAGGGTGAGGAACAGGGGTCATACCATTTTTGGTCAAGAATTGTCATACAGACAGGGCTGTGTGAGCAGGGGCATTGTCATGATGGAAAAACCAGTCACCCGACTGCCACAAATCTGGCCGCTTCCTCCGCAAACTGTTGCGCAATCTTTTCAAAACTTCCAAGTAGAAAGCCTGGTTAACTGCCTGACCCTGCGGAACAAACTCTGAATGGACGACTCCTCTCACATCGAAAAAACAAATCAGCATTGTTTTCATGTTTGATTTCACCTGACGAGCTTTCTTGGGGCGAGGCGAACTTGAAGTCTTCCACTGGCTTGATTGTTGCTTTGATTCAGGATCGTAAGCATAGCACCAGGTTTCGTCACTGGTGATAATTTTTGAAAAAAAAATTTGATCATTTCGGGACTCTTCTTTCAAAGCACAGCATGCTTCCACGCGACCTTGTTTTTGTTCAGCAGTCAGCAGTCATGGCACGAATTTCGCAGCCACCCTTTTCAATCTTCTGTCAAAATTCGCCGAACTGAGCTCCAAGTCACTCCTGACAGCTCCACAATTTCTTCAATTGTCCGTTGTCGATCTTCCTTGATGATTTCATGAATTTTTTCAACATTTTCATGTGTTCGGGCCGTGGAAGGACAACCAGAACGAGGTTTGTCATCAATTGACATTTCACCATTTTTGAAACGGGAAAACCACTCAAACACTTGAGTTTTCCCCATAGCCTCATCCTTGTATGCCATTTTTAACATTTCAGGAGTTTCTGTTCCACTTTTCCCGAGCAAAAAGCAGAATTTTACCACCGCACGCTGTTCACAAAAATCAGCCATTGCAAAAACGACGATCACACAAAACAGTTGTCACTATAAACTCTGCCAAAACTAGTCCTTACCTTCTGAAGCAAGGGTAGTCGGCTTATCGACTCAGGAATGTTAGCTCTATGCGCTCATAGTGGCAAAATGCGGTACTACAAAAGCTCTGCCCACAAAAAAATTAGTTCGGTTTCTTTTGGGTACCCCATCGTATAGTGTTTGTGATGGGATAGAAAACTTTGTCAGTGGAGGAACACAAGTCTGTTTAACTTGTGATAACATAATTAGTAATTGTGAAAAGATACAGAAGATTTTACGTTTTTATTTTTCATTACATAAAAAACTCTTAGGGAACATTTTAAAAATTAGTCATACAAGTGATGGTCAGTAGTAGTGGCATTACCATCACAGTAAGTGATATATAATGTGTGGGAATGACGTCCTGAGTATGTTGAATGTTACTGAAGGTTTAACCTTTAACGTACAGACTTTTGAATTGCCAGGAGCCCTCTGTGGCCAGTATTTAAATTGCCCTAATTGATTAACATTGCAAACTTTCAGAAAAAAAAATACATATTTTCTGTTCTATGCAAGATAGAAATACGAACTAAAAACAGTCTGAAAGACAATAAAATTTTGTACATATACTCAAAAGAGCAATTTTTACAAACGAAAATTAACTGTGATTATTTTACCATGAAATGCAAACTATAATCTTTATTATATATGTTATGAAATTCCAAAGGACTTACCCGTTGTTTTTCCTTCAACCTTGAATCATGATGATATTGTAAATATAGTCACACTATATACAATAATATTTTGTTCAGATTGTACACAAGTTTGAATTGTGTCACTTCAGAGTTTACGATACACTCTGACGCACATGGCACTTGTTGAAGCAGTCCACCTCACACAGAGCGACACCACCATTTTTACAATAGAATAGCATGCTCCAGCTTTTATTATTTAGCAAAACACATGACAACATCTTTGTTTCCTTTTGGTTGGCCAGTGTTGTGAATGTTTCACCTCCAGTCAACTCAGTTGGGCCCCCTGATAATTTGGCCTCGCCCCAAGAAAGGCCACTGACTGTGATATTCGGCTTTTGCGATTGAAAAATCATCTTGGGGGAGGGGGTTTCTAGCAGAATCGAATAAATTATTTTGATTGACAAAGTGACACACTCACCTATTAGTAATACTCGCAAAATATTGATGCAAAGTAATTATAATACTAGTCGAAAAGAGTGCCAGTCTGACACTGATACCGAAAGTTGCAGTTGCGAAGATGCCTTTTACTCACAAAGTAATACTGGCTCAGTGGGTTTATACCTCTTCCAAGATGCAAAATAAAAATGATATACAAAGAAATATATGACAGTCTGACACTGACTTCCTGACTGATAATTCGTCACTGAAAACCAATCCTTGAATGTGTTACGCTTCCTTGAAGGCTCTGGAAGCACTCATCTGCAAGCACTGATGAATATTCCCTCATCACTTCTCAGAACAAAGCTGGACTATATTTGGCTGACCAAGTCATAAACAGTCATATCTAAATGTAAATAGTATCGAAACCAGTACTGTAATAAACAATTTCGTTGTTCAGAGCTAAGGAATGAACCACTGACATGACCTCACATAGGTTTGTTTTGGTTTCAAACCCAAGGTCAAACTGTCAGCACTCCCAAAGAGAACATGAGTACTGTGTTAGATATATATACAAGTATATATATATATATATAGCATTCGGCCAACTCGGGTGCTGCTTGCGTCATATATCTCTAACATTCGGCCGTTAACGGTTAACTAGGTCTTGTCTTGCTGCCCCTTAAATTTATACATGATAAAAATTCGTCCATGATATGTATGTATTGGCCGTCTTGTAGTGCACTACAGGATGGCCAATACATATCATGGACGTGAATCAGTGCAACAGGACGCTAAAATACAATATGATAAAAATTCTGTTTAAATGTCTTACTAGGTTACTTCAAGAAGCAAGGTTTCAGTAAAGACATTAAGTTGGCCCGAACTATATATCAGGGCTTCATCAAAGACTATGAAGGTGCCACTTTAATGCATTGTGAACTGGATCCACGCATTGTATACACTGAATTCATTGCTGTTGTCAGAAAACAAAAAGAGGTAAGTAATAAATAACATTTTAACCCACATTACAGCCTGATTATCTGTTTCTCCCCGCTTGAATACTGTAAAGTATCATTTGGTTTCTCACAGTTTTCTCATGCAGTTGATATGTTGGTGTTAATATATGAGGGTCACTCTGAAGCTAATGCCTCCATATTTTTTTCATGTTCATGTGATATTGGATACAAAATGTAATGGTGTCAGGAGAAAATTTGAATGTTACACAAATAAACTGCAAGTTTCAGCACTGTATGCCAGGTTGCTGGGCTGTAGTGTTCTGTGAAAATTGAGGGTGATGTTGATATGTGTATGAAGCAGTGGTGAGGTATAAAGTTTCTGAGTTCAGAGAACATAGCACCCATTTAGATTCACTGATGTTTGAAGAACGTTTCAGGGGACATGACAGTCAGGGAGCACAGCTGGGCACTGGGTTAGGCATGTCAGAGATAATGGTAGTGATCTGAAGGACATGCCACAATCAGGCTATCATTGCACTACAGCAATGGCAGCAAATGAGGAGAATGTGGTTCAAATCATTTTTTGAAGACTTGACACTTTAAGACCATGGGAATATATGTGAGTGGGAATAGGCTTTAATTCATTGAAAGAGATTCTGAGCAATCTGGGATACAGGAAATTGTGTGGCAGGATGGTTCCACAGATGCTAACACCACATCACAAGTAGCAGAGAGTGCAGACTTGTTCCGATTTTCTGTACCAGTATGAGACCATGGGCAACAATTTCCTTACAGCAGCCATCACTGGAGATAAGACCTGGGTATACCACTATGAACTGGAGTGAATATAGCGGTCTGTGGATCCTTGTGTCAACAAGGATTGACTGACAAAGAAGAAATTCAGGGGTCAGGCATCCACTGGAAAAATCATATCTTTCATCTTTTGGAACAGGAGAGGGGCTATCCATATGGATGTCCTTGAGCAGGGACACACAGTCAGTTCTGCTTGTGAAATGGAAACACTGAAGAAGCTGAAGGCGCAAACTCCAAGAGAGGCCAGAAAAGAAGCAATTTTTTGTTTACAATATTATATTAAAGCATCCTGTTACACTCTACACAATGTATGACACAAACTCTGTATTAACACGTATTAAAGGTAAGCAGCACCATGCACACAGGGAGCCTACACAGAATAATACCCGAACGGTGCTGAAAGCAAGAAGTAGCCGCTGCAGCACTGTAGACCTAGAGCAGGTATTCCTGTGAATTTTGAATTTTAAATTTTAAAATTTTTTAAATTTAAATTGAAGATCTTAAAAATACCAAAATTCAAAAATCAAATTGATGTATGTAAATTAACAAAGATTTTATACATATCTGACAAATATCAGCAAGGGGATGCTGATAGTTTGGGACCTATTAACAACGGAGAATTGAACAGTTAAGAATGCTGGTGTTTTTAAACTTTAAACTACGTGCAGTGTAACAGCTACGTGAGTGTATACACCTGATGATGACCATTTACAGCCGAAACATGTAGTGTAGAAAAAGAGAAGACAAAAGAACTACAATAAATTGTTGCACTTAGGACGGAGTGTGTGTTATAAATTTCTTTTCATCAGTACAGCAGTGCCTGGCCCCATACCATCTTAAAATATTTTTTGCTGTGATAAATACTGAGTGAGTTATGCTTCAGATACACATAGAAATGCATGTCCTGATGTAAAGTGTTCAGCTTTTGTCTGATTTTGACCACAGTTTGAATGTGCCAATAAATTTTAGTAAGACTCCTCAATATTAAATTTCCTGAAAACTCATTCAGCAGTCCTTGATATGTGACACAGAGATGGCAAAACTAATAGGTGCAGTTTTGCAACTTCTTGTTATGTACATCAAAAAGATGCCACTCATAAAGCATCTAACCGTCTAGCGTTTTAAGGCCCTTTTCGTTGGGTGTCACTCCTTCTTACCGTCCTTCTCCGGCAGTCCTCTGAAGAGCCCTTTGGTTGCTGGTTGCATCTGCTCCTCTAGCCGTTCCCTCTCACCTGTTGTTACTTCGAGTTGGCAGGTTGCTGCTGCGTCCTTCCTATCCAGTTCTGTTTCCCTTTTTGTTGTTCTGGTGGATAATAGTTTGCGGGGTATGGGTTATCGGAGTGCTGGGCGCCAGTAAGCTTACTGTAACGGCTTACATTTCGGGGAAAAGGGGGGATGAACTGGAAACTACAGGTGCTAGGTACCGCGTTCTCACTGGAGCGATGAGATTCGGTCTCAGGGTGAATACGGGCCTCGCGTCAGCGGGAAAGAGAAGAGTGTTTTAGGCAGGCACTAACACACACTGTTTAATTAGCCAATCTTGCTACACACGTACATTTAACAGCACTTCCTTAAAACACATGGAAATCTCTCCAACGTTGGCGACCGGATCCCTGGCTAGTTAGTTAGCGGCTGTTTCTTTTAGCACAACCCCTAGAATTGCACTTTCACTTATACTTTTAGCACAAAGAAAATTTCACGTTAAATTTAGAAGAGTTATCCAGAGATTGTTCCTGCAAACACTTAAACATAATTTCGGCTGTACACTTGGAGGGTTGTTCAGAGACTCCTCTCGCAGACTGACCCTGCTTCGAAGCAAGAAATCTTCGCGGCTTTAGCTCCGCCTCCAAGTTACTACCCTAATTTCTGCTGATTGGAAATTCGAATTTAGGGAGTTAACCATAATTCTCACTGCTCCAATCACATAACTTTAATTTGGGACTTTGGACCTTAAAGTCCTAACGTCGTTTTAGACAGCTGCCTGAAAAATTATACCAGTAGCGTGGGTTGCTGGCCTTCCCACTTTTGACTTATGGGGTTCAAAACTTGTCAAGTGTAACTTTACTAAAGGATCCCGCCGGTCAACTTTCTAACTGAATTTCCAGGAAAACTCTGCGGGGTGCTTCCTGTCTGGTCTTTGTAGCAGTGAAGCAGGCCCTATTCTTGAAACCAAGAATCGGGCTAAGTCACCCTTGAGTGTTCCTTGCTACATCTTGTGTATAATTACTCTAAAAAGAAATATTGATTACAAAGAAAGATGGCGGTGTCAGTGGTACGGCTACAAGCTGGCAATGTGCACTAAACAATTCTATAAACAAAAAGTAAAGAAAATGTTAAGTAACTGATGAAATGTTTTGTTAATTCCTAAAGTTTGTGGTTTCTCTCTTAGGTTGTTAAAAAATTGATTGAAATGCGGCAGCAAGAGGTGCAGAAAGTGCATCCTGGTCTCACCTGTTTCCGAGAAGGTGTCCGGGGAATTCCTGTGGAAAGTATTCCTGGTATTAGAGAGACTGGATGGAGGCCAGTTGCTAGAGCAACAAGAGTTGCCCGTGTTACTGAGGAATGTAACGATCCAGATACACTACTTACAACACTTAAAAATGTGCTCACAACGGTGAGTTTTGAATCCTGACGACTATTTATTTTAAGAATATAAAGTACTGTTGTTTTGTCCATTGGTGAAGTTTTAGTTTGTTTTTGTACTTGTAAGTAACAGGGTAATAGGTTGCTTATCTAATAATTAATTTCATATGAAATGGAATTGGTCCTAAGGTGCAAGATCTGGCTAAATGAAATTAAGTTTCTTATTTAAAATTTGTTGATATCAATGTGCTGACCATGAGAAGCTGAAACATGTTGCGACAAGTAAACAGAAAATGTGATTTTAATGATATTTTATGAATTTTAAATGTTATTGTAAATGACATTTTTAAATAAAATGTATATGCATTATAGACGTAAGTGAATGAGTGAGATATTATTGCAACAGGATGCTGAAATATAATATATTAATGTCTGTGTACTTTGTGTAAATATATCCTACCTAACAAAAATACTAATGAAGGATTTTGCATATAAATATGCCAGTTTCATAAAATTTATGTATACCATAACTTTGAAATGAGGCAATTAAATTTTGAACACAGAAGCCTGGTGCATTTATCTTGGAAGAAAATGTTTGTTTGTTTTTATTCGCCTTGTAGATCAGTTACGAGGGTAAGTTAATAAGTAAGTTACAAATGGATATANTAGAACTTAAACAAATAAGAGTACTGATTTGAAAAATGCTTTTATTTCTCATCATAATCTCCCTGTACAATGAGACTTTTCCCCTTGTTTCACAAGCCCCTGAAAACCAGCAGCATAAAATTCTTTGGGCTGCTGTCAGAACCAGGTGGTGACTTCCCTTTCTACAGCTTCATCGTTGGGAAAATGTTCAGCTGAAAGATGGTGTTTAAGAGGGCCAAACAAATGGAAGTTGCTTGGAGCAAGACTCATCACCTGTGACAGTTCAGGCTAGCATATCTTGTCCTTCATCGTGGTAGCGATTGAGATGCTGTAATGCCAAACCCATTCTTTGCATTTTGTGTTGTGGGGTCAGCATGCGTGGTACCCATCGTGCACAGACTTTGTGAAAACCTAACCTGTCATGTGACTTCCATTTGTTAAGGCCATCTTAAAAATCATGTTTCAGCTGAACATTTTCCCGACGATGAAGCTGTAGAAAGGGAAGTCACCACCTGATTCCGACAGCAGCCCAAAGAATTTTATGCTGCTGGTTTTCAGGGGCTTGTGAAACAAGGGGAAAAGTCTCATTGTACAGGGAGATTATGATGAGAAATAAAAGCATTTTTCAAATCAGTACTCTTATTTGTTTAAGTTCTATATCCATTTGTAACTTACTTATTGATTTACCTATGTACAGTGACATAGGACATGTCACTCATTTTATACAGTTAATGAAATACAACATATTCTATGTATTCATTTATCAGTAGCTGACATTGAAGAATTTTTAATTGAGATAGTCTTTGTAATAACAGCATCCTTTAATAAGTCCAGTTCTTTTTTAAAAATGGATGTTATTACCTATTTGTTTTATTGTTAGTTTGTTATTAAAGATACTACCTGCTGCTGATGGTTTACTATATATAAAGCTGTATATTATGTACATATTATTATTATTATTATTATTATTATTATTATTAT